AGCCATAAAAACCGACAACATAACGCCATTTGCAGCAACATGGATGTCCCTGGAGAATGTCATTCTAAGTGAAGTAAACCAGAAAGAGAAAGAAAAATACTGTATGAGATCGCTCATTTGTGAAATCTAAAAAAAAAAGAAAAGAAAACAAAAAACATACATACAATACAGAAACAGACTCATAGACATAGAATACAAACTTGTGGTTGCCAAGGGGGAGAAGGGTGGGAAGGGACAGACTGGGAGTTCAAAATTTGTAGATATTGACAGGCATATGCAGAATAGATAAACAAGATTATACTGTGTAGCACGGGGAAATGTATACAAGATCTTGTGGTAGCTCACAGCTAAAAAAAAATGTGACAATGAATATATGTATGTTCATGTGTAACTGAAAAATTGTGCTCTACACTGGAATCTGACACAACATTGTAAAATGGCTGTAACTCAATAAAAAAATGTTTAAAAAACTTTTTTAATACCAAATTTAAAAATAGCAATAAACTTGTTACATGAAGACTACGTTTTAATAAAAATGTTTTAGAAATTTTAATGAGAAGCGTGTCAATGTTTTAGACTGAGCATAAAACTCAGTAGTAACACCTGGTTTAACCAGCAGCGGGGCCTCATGTCTGCTTCTGCGCCCTGAGCAGGCAACCGTGGGCATTCTGCCTCGACACCACAGCAAAACTCTACAAGGGGAGTTTCTTAAAAAACTTGCTGCAATGTGCAAACCTCAATCCTCCACAAGCTTCAGGACCCCAACCTAACCCGCCCGTGTGTCTTGCCCGAGGATGATTCTGTAACACTAGGCCTTGCAGACGTGCAAACCCCACGCTGTGAGACAGTAGAGGAGGCACTTCCTTTTCAGTCTCGTCATAAAAACAGCTTTGACCTCGCACACCCTATGGAAGAGTCCAGTGGAGCTGAAGCTTTAATAACGATCACGATGATGACACCAAGACTAGAGTCCGTCAAATAGCTTTAAACACAGGAGTTCACAATGACGTTTTAAAGGAAAGAACTGGTCAACCTCAGAAGATGACAGAGAACAAACTCATCACTTGAGAGACTAGGAAGTGAGAAAGACTCAAACACCTGTGCCACCTCCCTCGAGACACCCCGCGCGCAACGGAGCAGCAGAGGGACAAGTCTCTGCAAAACCACCCAGCTGTGAGTGAACAGTGAGAGGCACGCCGCCACCACCTTGGAACTGCTGATGAATGAACGCCCGCAGCACTGAGGCCAACAGCTGCTCCCGTCAGGAAGACAGCAAGCCAGGCCCTCAGCTGGGCCTGGGCCAGGCCGCTCACAGCCGCAGACAAGCGAGGGGCACGTGGGCTAGAGGCACCAGGGCACGGGGGCCACCGCCTCAGACGGCAGGTCAGACGGCCCAGCTGCTCCACAGATAAAAGGGGGAGCAGGGGCAGGAGGGAGGGCAAATGTAAATTAAAAGGCAAGCGGGCAATGGCGTCTGGGGCACACGCACGGACGGTGATGCCGCCCAGAAAACACGGGGACGCGACCACCACGGGGCAGGGGTGGGGGGTGGGGGCGGCTGCTGTTTGGGGCTGAGTCTGTTTCTCACCCTCGGTGGTGGCTCCCAGGGTGCCCATCCCAGAGACTCATCAGGCCACACGTCTGTTTTGTTTTCTGGATCCAGGTTTCATTTTATGACCAAATATCTCACGTACAAACACTGAATACAAAAAAGAGCTCGAGTCCCTAGGACGAACGCGGGGAGGGCGGGGAGCAAAGCCAAGCCCGCGGCAAGTCGCTAAGACACCAACGCATCGCTCTGGAAAGTGAAAGAGAGCCCCCCGAGTCGCTGTGCAGTCCACGCACCCAGGCTGACACGCATCTCAGGGTACCAAGCGGCCCAGCAGGTGAGCAAAGCTCTCCCGCCCCAGAGAATTCCAGGGCCACAGAATCACCACCGTGCACTTCTAATGAGACGGTGGACTCAGGCAACAGGGACCGAGGCAGGGACATGGCAGGGAAGGAGCCGTGAGCAAGGGATCGGCGGCGGCCATGGACGCCCTGACCCACTCGGCACGGTGACCTCACAGCACCTACCCAAAGCGTTCTTGCCAAAATTAGGTCAGAATGAGATTAAAATCTTAGAGCCTGGATGTGCTCTGGTCTCCAGCCCTCACTTTTGGGAGCTAAGGGGAAGGACTGAGCTCCAACAGAAGTGACCAGCCGAGAGCCCAGGCCTGCAGCAGGGGTCAGTGGGGCACCCCGATTACAGCAGGTGGAAGACGGATTCCAGGACGGATCCCACCTACCTGGATTCAACCAGAGGAAAGAACCGTACATGGCATTTTTCAGAGACACTTGACTTTGAAGCAGGCATTGTGTAATAACAGAGAATTACTGCTATTTTTGTTACACAAGACAATGCTCTCCTACTTCTTGAGGGCTGCGCACCGAGACAGTTAGTGGTAAAGTCGGGTTTGCTCAAAACGCTAGGTCAAAACCCTGAGAACAGGAGGGAGGGGCGGACCCACATGCTGGTGACTCGGATCTGAGGAGCAGGTTCAGAAGGCCGGCCACCACTTTTCCATCATGGAAAGCTCTTCTCAAGGAGGGAAGGGGGTCTGAGGAGTGGCATGGGGGGGTGGCGGCAGCAGAACTACGCACCCTGCCCATATGCCAGCTGACCGCCACGTGGAGACAGCTCTGCAAACGTCCCCCAGACCAGGCACGAGGCTCTGATTCCATAACCGGGGGCACTGGCCGAGCTCAGTGCGGACACAAACCCACTTACTTCGTGGTCCACGCTCTCGGTGGCCATGCACTGGTTGTTGGCCAGAGTGGTGATCTCTCGGCTTTTCGGGGTTTCCATCCGGCAGCTGCAGAGGGGCACCTCCTGGAGGCCGTCCGTCTCCCCCACGTCGGGACCGTTGGCCAGCCCTGCAGTCACACAGACGTGGTGAGTGTGGCCCTGGCAGGTCCCCGTGTCCCCGCCGCACGCAGCCCACATGTCTGCAGAAGCAGCCCTGCCGCTCCCAACAGAAGAGCACTGATTTCCTCACTCGGTTCCAGAAAATCACAGCAGCACAACAAATGCGACTGGACCTGCAAGGATCTGAAGTCAGTTTTTACGTTTGTTTTTTCCCTTCCTTTTTGAATTTCTGTTTTTGCGGGGAGAGGTGAGTAGGTTTATTTAGTTATTTGGTTTTTCAGCGGAGGTACTGGGAATTGAACCCAGGACCTCGTGCATGCTAAGCATGTGCTCTCTCCCCGACGTGGAAGGATCTGGAAGCAGCTTGTTTATTTAGTTATTACCTGTTGTTTCTCACCCGCAGCAACAGTGCGCAGAGCCTGCGGTCAGGCCGAAGGCGGGAAGTCGGGGAAACCATCAGGAGAGCCTGTTACCACCTCCCCCGTTCTACGGATGAGGGTGGAGCAGCGAGGGGCGGGGGTGGGAGGGAGCCCAGGTCTGCTCCTCTAAGCCCACCGGGGCACCCCACCCAGGCAGTGGGGGGGGGCGCAGGCTGGCTGCCAGAAAGACCGCTCAACCCAACCAGAAGCTTCCAAAGGAAGTCACATTTCAGGTTTTTCCTCGTGAAGTGGTCACAGTAAGAGTGTGAGGTGGGTGGGGGTCCTGCTGGGCACCCCACCCCCCAGCGAAGAGCAGTGGATTCCGCCTCCCGGCCCACAGCACAGAGGCCGGCTCACAGGACAGGCCCTGGCTGCTGCCCCTCCCCCTGCTCAGGAGCCAAGGCTGGTCCCTGCCAAGACACACTCAGGACACAGGGTCAGTCACACCCTGAGGGCTGGAGCTCACGTGATCAGGAGGGAACAAAGCAGGAGGGTGACCCCACATCCCAAGGCGCCCAGGCCCTTCCTTCGTGGTGGGAGGAGGCCTCTCCAAGAGCAAATGGGGACGCCAGGTCAGACCACGAGTCAGCCAGCGGGTGCCTGCGGTGACCCCGAACACGGGACACAGATCGCGAGGGGCTGAGCAGCGAGGCCGTGGGGAGGACGCGGGCCTGTGTCTGCAGTGCGAGCCCCCAGGCATCCCACGAATGTGAGAGGGATCTGAGGGGCCAGCACCTCAACCTCAACCAAGGGGCCTGGGACCTGCGGCACCAACATTCTGCAGGCTCAAGGCTGGACGGCGGGAACCACGGCCCACCCCGTCGCAACTCATCCCAGGTCACAGGCTCCCCGCCAGCCTCGGGTTCCCCAGTCACCCCCTCAACATCTGAAACTGGCACTAAAATTGCCCAGACTGAGGGCCACCACTGTCCCTGCCAAGGCAGGCCCTCCGGACAAGACTGCGTTGGTCAACCAGACGCACCCACATGGCCGTCCCGCCAGGAGAACAAACGTGGGGTCGACACTGCACACTGAGCTCCCCCTACCACCTCGATGTGGCTTTCGCCAGCTTGGCTTCCTTTTACCAGAAACGAACTTAGGTGTTTCCAGGCCAAGGCTCAACCCAAGTAACCAACAGGGCAGCGGGAGACCCCACTGTGAGCTGCCATCTCACCTCTGACCCTTGGGCACAGTGCAGGGCTTGGGGGTACGTGGTAAAATGGACACAATTTCCCATGACAAATCTCAGAGCAGGTGTAGCAACACTGATCACAGGAGTCACTTCACGTGGACGAGAGCACAAGGCGAGCAGGGGGCTCCTGGCCCGTCCTCAGTGAGGAGACAAGGGGCCGTGCCCCCAAGCCCGGACGCGCCCCCGGCTCCCCTCGTGAGCTGAGCCTGTGATGCCCTGCACTGAGCAGGGAGCAGGGAAGGGCTCCCCCAATGCCCAGACCCTAAGAGCGGGCGCTGTCCTTTAAAGACTGACTGGTTGACCTGCAGATACTAACCACTGTGTATAAAATAAACGAGTTTCCTCTGTAGAGAACAGAGAACCGTTCAGCATCTCGTAGTAACCTACGGTGAAAAGAATTTCAAAGCAGATATACGTGTGTACACGTGTAACTGAAACACTAGGTTGTAACCAGAAGTTGACACAACACTGTAAACTGACTATAATTCATTTGAAAAAAAAAACAGAATGACTGGTTATATTCCACAGAAGCAAAGTCCACGCTGAATGTAAATAACGAGGACTTCATATTTTCCCCATACTACATTTCAAATAGGTTTTTCCAAAGAGTCAAACAGCCTTTAATTACTTTTTGCCAACAAAGGGTTTTCAGCGGCGGGGAGAAAGCGGGTGGCGGGGAGGGCAGCTCCACCTGCTCCTGCAGCCCTGGGCCCGGCTGGAGTGCAGACCTCACCACTGCAGAACGTACCTGAGCCCAATGGTGCCACATCTCACCAACCACAACCGGAGTCAGAGGTCACAGAAAAGCCCTGCCACTCACAATGACGCCAGCCCGCGTTTGGTGAAGCGCAGCCCGGGCAGGAGTCCACCGTGTCATTAGGACACGATGTAAAAGCACGTGTGACTCTCAGGGACAACCTGACTGAGGGGGATGCCCACTGCCCCATCCCCGGAGGCTCCGGACCGGCCCACGCAGTGACACGGCACACCCGCCTGCGTCCTGGTACCTGACTCGCACGCCCCACGCCCTGCCCGGCCTCCACACCAGCATGGCAGGCACCTCCAAGCCCAGAGCAGGGAGGCGCCGGCCCCGGAGCTCACCTTCTGCTTCTGCGGGCAGTGTCCCCTTGACACGGAGATCCAAGGAGTCCAGGGACACCTCCATGTATCCCGAGCCGTCTCCTGGTGCCGTCGGCTCCACGCTCCCCGAAGACGACGCATAGGCTTCAGCACCTGCATTCCAAAGGCACCCACGTAGCGGGCCAGGCACCAGCCGCGCCACGGGCTGCGCCGCCACGGGGCTGCGCGGGAGCCTACGCAGACGACAGGCTCAGACACCACCCCCTCCTGGCCCCTTCGCCCCTGCCTCTTCTCACAGGCGGTTCCCTCTGCACAGAGCACTCGTAGGAAGGGGCTGTGCCAAGAAAGGCAAGGCCTGACTTTGGAAACACCTTTGTCTGCAACTAGACCGACCAGGTAAGAGCTGACCAAATACTCCAGGACACGAATAAAAATGTCGTAAGCGTATGTTCCATGAATACGACTTAAAATAGAACAGAAAAATCTGAAACACAGGTTTGAAAGACCAGCTGAAGTGCAGGAGATGCAGAGGCTGCAGACGCATGGGGCTGCTGGGAAAGGGGCCAGCCTCGCAGACCCCTGGGTGTCAGGATGATGGGGGAAGACGCGGGGTCACAGGAGCATCCACCTGTCAGACAGCAGTTTCAAAGCACGTGGCTCACCAGAGGGTGGCACCAGGTGAGCCTGCCCCAGGGTGCGCAAGCGAGGAGCTGGCTGAGGGGCGGCCCGCCCGCATGTCCCAGCAGGTGTACCCGTATCGGCTACTCTAAGGGCATTTCACTGAGGAAGCCTGCAAAATGCGCATTTATACAGGACGACGTTACCACCAGCAAAGGACCAGTGCCCGAATCTCCCAGCCGAGCCTCCAAACACTAGTCACTGATGCTGTGTCAGTGATCGGGACTGAGGGAGCCTAACATCGAGAGGAGCGGTGTCCGAAGACGCTGAGCTCATGCCACGTTCTGCACCCAGGCCTCAGATAGGAGAAGCCGCCCAGCAGTAAGAAACTGTCACCACCGCTGCGAAGAACGTGAGTAGCCTTCTGCAACTCTAGACACTTAACGAAAGGAAAACTAATTCAAACTGTGTGAACAGTACTTAGGCATGCACTTTACACATCATACCCAAGGTGGCAAAGATGAAGCCTTCACCCCCAAACTACTCTGAGTCTTAGATCTACAGACGCTTTTGTGAGCCACCAGCAGGAACCACATCAGGCACTCTGATCATGGTTGACAAGCCGTCTACTGAGGAAAGGAGACGAGGTTCAGAGGAGGCACGTGTGCGCCTCCCGCAGCCTCTGCCTCCCCGAGGCCAGCTCTGCCTCCCCAGCAGCCCCTCGGCAGACCTACTTCCCAATCGGGGAGTCCAGAAGACACTGAAGTAACTGAGGAAAAGAGAACGAAGCCCCGCAGCTGGGCGGTGCCGGTGCAGGCATCGACCAACCAACCAGGCCGACTAGAGTCCAGAAACAGCCACACGGTGACCGTCAGCAGAGGTTCAAAGAGTGAAATGGAGAAAAAGAAAAGTTAACATAACCACTGGTGCTGGAACAACTGGACATCCACAGGTAAAAAAGGAGCAACCTCACACCACACACACACACCCACCCACCACGGATCAGAGACCCACATGTAAAGGCTGAAACTATAAAACTTCAAGAAAACATGGGACAAAATCTCTCTGACCTGGGCTATTTAAGTCAAAGATTTCTGAGATGAAAAGCATGAATTTTAAAGATAATCTATAAATTAGACTTCAGCTAATACTTTTTAAAACTTTTATGCCAGGCACATACTTGTAAAACATGTATCTGACAAAAGACTTGTATGCAGAATATTGAAAGAATTCTTGCAACTCAATGAGAAAACAAACACTCTGGTTTTAAAATGAACGAAATATATGAACATATCACAAAAGATAGATGCAAAAACGCTAAGGTGTGTAGCCTCACTGTTCATTAGGTAAATACAAAGTGAAACTGCAGTGAGACACCACCCCACACCCACCAGCAGCACTGAGACTAGACCGCCCATGGCTCGTGTCGTGAGGACGCAGCAGCTCCGGGACGCTCACCCGCTGCTGCAGGAACGCAAGAGGGCAGTTTGGCGGTTCCCCTAAAACGTGAGACACACCATGTGGCTCAGCCCCGCCCTCCTAAACATCCACCTGAGACACAGGAAAGCACTTGTTCAACTAGGACTTGCGCACAAACGTTCCCAGAGTTTACCTGTGAAACGCTGGAAAGAGCCGAACTGTCCCATGGCAAGGGACAGAGCCTGGCCAGTGCACCCCGGACTCCTCCCTCAACTGCACCAACAACGCCCCTCAGCAACACTCAGAGGGCCCAGGAGAAGGGCACCCCCGGGAAGACCCATCTGTAAATGGTCTACACAGACCGAGCCGTCTGCAGGGGCAGCGGGGAGCAGAGGGGCCAGGGCCAGGTGGGGCAGGCGGGCAGGGGCACAGGACCCTCACGACAGGGTGCGGTCCTCCTGTCACCACACGGGCACGTCACGCTGCCCCAGGCCTTCCACAGGCAGGCTGCAAGCCAGGCCCACCAGGGCCCTCCCTGTGTCAGCCCCTCCAGCAAACTCCCTCCAGAACAAGGGAACCTGCCCACGGGGCTAAGAGCCACCAAGGACCCTGCCCTGCCCACGGACATCACAGGCAGCGGCAGTGACCACACAGCGTCCACGCAAGTCGCAGATTCCAGGCGCACGGGGGGGGGGGAGGGCAGGAAGGTGGGGAACACTCGGCAAGGAAGCCAGCGTCGCAGGAGGGGGCCTGGGAGGAAGCCACTTCAGGATCAGCACGTCTCTGATAAAGGCGGTTCAGACACTTTGGGTTCTTTTTTTAAACGGTGGGCCTTCTGTTCCAACTGCACCCGATGCAGAACCCTGGACCCCGGCCCCGGCCGTTTCCGCTCACCTAGCACTGGGCAGGGCTTCTTTCTGCTCCGCCGCCGCCTCTTCCTGGCCGGCTTGATCCAGGGGCTGTCAGGCTTCCCTTTCCTCTTGAGAAACTTCTTCTTGATGCTGGATTCAGAACTCTGAGAACCCAGGGCAGGAAGAAAAAAGAAAAAAGCTGCAAGCGCTGTTTTTTCGCTGTGTCTTGACTCTTCAACTAGGAGTTTAACTTCACTTTCAGGCAATTTCTAGGTCACATTCTTAAAGACGCTCATCCTTTTCCTAAACACCACTCTAACCTCAGTTACTTGCCAGTGGGGTAAAAAAGCCAAGAAACTTAAAATGGAATTATAAATCTTACTTGAGTTTGGCACAAGAAAGAATAAATAAGAAAGTTCTACCCAGGAACGAAGTAAATAAACTCAGTAAGAGAATCCACCTTTAACCACACATGTCCACTCCTCCTGCTCACAAGAAGAGGAACAGCAGACGCCTCAACCCGCTTCAGAACCCACGTTCAAGCTACAGCTGCTACACGGGGAGCAACGGGAGGGGTGTGTCACTTTACAGCATCTCCAGGTTCTGGAGCGTCTGCTTCTAAAGCTTAGACGTAGAAAGGGCATCTACCACGAGTTACAAACAGACGCGCAGCGTGACCCACTAGCCTTCCCGACGGGCCAACGGGAGGGTCTCCCAGCTCCTGCTCACTGTGGGCAGAGAGGGGAATTTTAAAGAATGGGCTCACGAGCTGAAAAGACACCCGGGAGCAGCTCGCCGGGCTTTCCGACAACCACCACGGTGCCCGAGCCCCCGCACTGGGCACCGCACTCACCCACGGGAGGTGGCGGGGCAGCAGCCTTGGCGACGCCCCACCGCGTGCCCCCGCACTCCCCTTCACAGCAAAACTCTGGGAAGAACTGCACACACTGCACCCAAAGCTCGCCGCCACTTCCATCCACTGTCCCAGGAAACGACCGCTTATCGCCTGCCTCTCGTCCACCCACACAACAAGCTGCCAGCCCTGCCACTTCCCCTCTTCAGAGTGGTCCTCAGCTCCCGTGACCCTGAACTCTCCGAGCTTCCTTCCCTGTCTCACAGCCGCCCCACCCTCCCTGCTTCGCGCTGGCCCGTGGGGTGTCCCCAGGCTCCGTCCTCAGCTGATCCCCATCCCCACTTCCGAGTTCCCCCATCAGCTACTCCCACAGCCCCACCCTCTGACCCCAGCCTCCGTGGGGTCACCACAGGGCTGCCCACCAGCAACAAGGACTGTCTTAGCCCGTCCCCCACCTCCCAGCGTCATCCGCCCTAGAGGCCCCTCAGCTCTACCTCAGATGCCTCACCTGTCACATCGGTCATGCGCCCCTGCCGCCCACGCCGGCCCCTCCCCCGGCCCTCTGCTCGGCCACGGCCCTGGACCCACCGTGGACGGAGCCAAGCAGGGGCTGCACAGCTGCGCAGCTCCCCAGTCACCCACACAGGCCCAGCACCCAGCCACGCAAGCGGGGCTTACCAGGTCCGACTCGTCTCCGTCCTCCTCCTCCTCCCCGGTGCCGGCCGACTCCTGCTCCTCTTCCGATTCCCCGTCCGTCTGCCCAGCCACACCACGCGCCAAGGAGAAAACAAAAACTCAGAGACCCTCAGTGGCCGGTGACGCAGCCAGATATGCTGTCTTCCCGTGAGGTGCCCGGCCCCACCCGTCCCTGGTCTGCACCCCTGGTCTGGGGGGCGCAAGGACGTCCAGCGTCTGCTGAGGGCTAGTGCACGGATGCCTCTAACCCGTGGCAGAATTCAACAAAAGGTACCAGAGCGCGCACGGCAAGGAGGCTCTCAGAGCCACAACTGACACAAAGAGCAAAGCCACCCCACCCGCCGGAGGGCAGCCCGGCCCCAGGAACCTAGTGCCCTTGCAGCCCTGCCACGCGCACGCGGCCCAGAGCCCGGAACGCTTCCAGCTGGACGGCAGAGCAGACACTTCCGGGACGTTCCTTCCCTAATGGAACAGCAGAGGGGCCTTCCTCCGTGCCGTGGGTGACTCGTCTCAAGGCACTAGCATTGCGGGTGCCCGGTGCCCCCGACACCCTTGGGCCCGGATCCTCATTGCGCAGCTTCACCCTCGCATGGTCCACGGGCACCTTGCAGTTTCACATTAAGGTTACGTTCCAGACAAGCCACAACCCTCCGGGACAAATCAGCAGGCATGCTCCAGCTGTGCCGGACGCTGGCTGTGGACGTCCAGGAAGCTGCCGGAAGCGCTGCGCACAGAGGCAATGCCAGCCCCCCGGGCAGTCACACGTCTGGGGTCTCCCACAGGGACACAGGAGCTGCGCGGCTCCCGCGCCACCGCCCCTGTCTCTCCCATTAAGCGTATTTCCAGCTCCTTGCTCTCTTATTCACTGTAGAAGCTACACACGGGACAGTAATCCATGTCTGTTAAATATGTTGGAAACAGTTTCCTATTAGGTCCTGTGAGCCTCGCTGCTGGCATTTCTCTCTATGAAAACACTTCAGAGATTTTATTCGGCAAGTCAAACCCTCATCTCTCCCCTCTTGGCTTCTGGGTGAGTCTTGCACTGCAAGGCCTTCGCCTGAGATGAGAAACATGATTCCCAACACTTTTTCCACAGTCCTACAGCCTGTGTTGACCCTTTACATCTGGAATTTTTTTAAGTATCAGCTTTACGATTTTATCGTTCACCCGCCCATAGATTCACCCTCTCAAAGTACCAGTTCACCGGTCCTGAGTACATTCAGAGCCGCACAGCCGTCACCCCATCTAATTCCAGAACGGGGTGTGAGCTTGACCCAAGGGTCAACGCCCACTTCTCCCCAAGAGACCCGTCGGCCCCCAGTGACCCTCGCTGGCAAGCCCAGGGCGGCACAGCCGCCAGCTGGAAGCCCAGCTCTCACTACAGGCCGTCTTCACGGGCAGGCAGGTTTGCTGGGCTCCCTGTCCCCCCTGCTCGGCAGCCACCGCCTGCCCCAGCCCTGCCTGATCGCTGGGCCGCGGTCGAGCTGCAGTCCACCCCCGCCCCACGGCGGGCACTTCCCACGTCGCTGGTTCCACAGAAGTCCCGTCAGAACTGACGAGAACTGTTCTGAACCACGGACGACACAGGGAAGACAGCACAGCAGGTCTTCCTCACGCAAGTGACGGGGTTCACGCCACGAACTCGCGATCTGCTCCACCTCTTCCAGCAAAGGGCTACAAACTTTCCTTACAGGTTACAGACATTGGTTGCTAAATTTACCACTAAGTACTCTGGTGATATTAAGGAATTACAGCTAGTTTTTAGGTATGATGCGTGGCTATTTCTCAGAGTCCTTATCTTGAAAGACCCCTGTCTCAGGGCAGGCCGGGGGAGAAGCAGCCACTGCCGTCCCGTCCTCCACACGTGCTCCAGTGAGGAACCCTCCCCTCACCCCCGCATCTGTGGACACTCCTGACACCGTGTCACTGCACTTCCGAACCAGCCTTGCCACCACACAGACACCGGGAGGCTGTGCCGTGGTGGCCCAGGAGCTCGGCTCAGGAGCTACTGCAGCTGCTCTGCTGGTCCTGCCCTCTTTAGACGGGTGGCTGCACTCTCAGCAAACTGCTCTCCCTCGTCCTTTTCAGCATGAAAGCTCCCTTCCGGGTCTCATTCTGCAGAATCACAGCAACAGTGACCAAGCCGGGGCGCTGTGGGGAGCGGGCAACAACCCTGCCCTGTGCAGTACTGGCTGGCAATGCTTTGAACTTGCACCACTGAACACAACCTTCTTCGTAGGACTCCACTATCTTTAGTCAGCTCTATTTAAATGCTACCTTTAAAGTTTGTCGAGTAGTGTCTTATTCTAAAAAGACTACGCAACGAAATACCAATGAAAACAGGCAGACCCACCGCCTGTGAAAGTCCTGCAGAGCGGCCGCAGAGGAAGGGGCTGGGCCACCTCACAAGGGCCACGACAGCAGCACACCCGGAGCTGTGAGGGGTCTGGGCACAGAAGGGCAGCGGCTGGCACAGCTGGAGGCGGGGACCCGACCCGCAGGACCCGCAGGCCCAGCACGCCTGCATGTCCCCCGAGCTGGGACCAGGACACCAGCCCGTTGGGGAGAAGGGGCCCTCACTGCAGCACAGGCCACGGGGGCTCCCCTCCCGTGAGGCGACTTTTTAAAGGACAAACAACCATTCAGCTAACTGGGTGAGTCTTAAATGGCCACTTCACAAAAGAAGGCATCCAAGTGGCAAGTAAACACGTGAAAAAGTACCCCCAACCTTCCTGGAAACCAGGGAAACGCAGACGAGGGCAGGGTGTAAGACCACTGCACCCGACCGGCAGTCCCGGCCCCGTGCCGGCCCGGGGGTGGGTGCGCCCAGGCCAGCGTGACAGGAGGCACGGGCCCCACGCCGACTCCCTCCCATGCCCAGAAACCCCAAGAGCTGCCGAGGGCTGCCACTGAGGGGGGTCAGGCGCCCGCACGCCTGTGGCCGTGACCCTCCGCCCAAGGACCACCCAGCCCACAGCCTAACGCGGGGACCAGCGCCCTGGCATCAGCCTCACCGCTAGACCTCAGCGACCCCGGAAGGGGCTTGGGGACCCCCAGACCACTTTCAGAACCCATTACCTAACAGTGGGCATGAATGAGTCCTGCAAACCTGATACTGGTTAGAGAAGCCACCCTCAGAGACAGGGATGGTCCTGCCTGACCCCACAATGCCCAGACGAGACGGGCCAGGGGGGCGGTGATGGCTGGGCTTCCTCCCACCACCTGGCACGTGAGCAACCTCGCCTGGCCCTGAGCCCAAGCTCGTAAGACGCCCCCTCCCTCAGCCCACCGCGGACCTGCGAGACCCCTCCCGACCGCAGCCGCAGCCACACACACTGGCCTGTCTGGCGGAGCTCAGTCCGCAGTTCAGGAAGTGCAGCCCCAGGGCTGTTAGGCCCGGCCCTGCCGGCTGCCGAGCTTCCCGCACTTTCTCTCTGGTCCTGCTCTGACCTGTTTCCCAGCCCTCGCGCTGGCTTGTCACGCATCATATCAACATCTAGACCTATTCAGCGTCTAGACTCTTTCTGGAAGGTAAGGCCTTCCGTCAAAACAGAGAATCCAGAAACAGACTCAAGTTCAAATGCCAGACGGTGTATGCTAAAGATGGCGTTTCAAATCAGCAGGGAGAGAAACACCAGCCAGCAAACAGCGCTGGACACGCGTGGCTGACCGCGTGGCTGAGGGAGGCCATGGAACCCTGACCTCACGTTGTCTTTAAAAAGCTTCACTGACACGGGCACGGGGAGGGTGGAGAACTCAGTGGTAGAGCACATGCATCGCACGCACGAGGTCCTCGGTTCAATCCCAGGACCTTCATCAAAAAAAAATTATTGTAAGAGATGTGGTTAAAAAAAAAAAAGCTTTAGCT